GGCCTCAACACCCCTGCTCTCTGGAGTGATCTTTGATCTTCATTACTTGCTACGACAAGAGTAACCCCAGCTCAGGATCAAACCACAAACTTTGGAGCTGAATGCCATAAATGTAATGTAAACGTGTTGGATTACATTTACAGCATTTGGCAGACACCCTTATCCAGAGCGACTTACATTTCTCTCATTTATACAACAGAGCAGTTGAGGGTTAAGGGCCTTGCTCAAGGGCCCAGCAGTGGCAGCTTGGCAGTGCTGGGAGCTGAACACGTGACCTTCCGATCAGTAGTCCAACGTCTTAACCACTGAGCTACCACTGCCCACTATCACTAAGCACCAAAGCACATAACAGTGCACCAAAGCACTAACAATCAACCCACACCAGCTATTTACAGACAGTTCAATTACATAGGAAAAAGTGCAGACCTGCTCACATGCCACTTTCTGTCTTGGCATCCATGTATTGGGTTGTGGTCGCTTAAAACATCGCTCTGGTTGATTTTAAAGAAGACTTCATTGTCACATTGTCCTGAAACAGAGGGTTAAGAGTCAAGGGCCCAACAGTGGCAGCTTGGTAATGAGCTCACAACCTTCTGATCAGGAGATCATGACCTTCGTATTCTGTTTCTATCTGAGTTAATGTCTGAGTACAAGTTAATTGTCAGTTGTTGCCTTTTGTGCTTCCTGTCCAAGCACAACCCAACACAGCACTCCCACTGTACAACTGTAGGGTGCATAGGGTGCAAATTTGTGTCAATTATTTGACAAGAATGATTATTGGTGGAATTTTTATTGACTAAATCACCCCAACAAGATCAATTCATTATTACATTATTTTTTATTTATTTGTGTTAAATATAGATTTTTATGTACTACAAAGGCAAATGCCTCACCATTTGACCACAAAAGTGAGATATAGATAGGAGATATATGGAACAAGGACTATACACACTAGTCACAAATCAGCCAGTAAAAGTTAACAAAGATCTGAATAAAATAAAAAATAAAACAGATTTTGTGTAGTACATAGTGCAACACTACTACATTTACAAAATGTTTCAAAAGTGAAACGTAGCACACAAAGTGGGCAATTTATTAGCTAGACCTGCCATTTTATCAGGTAAAACAGCAGCCATTTTATATATGGTAAACCATATAGAGTCACTTTGTAAATTATTATTGACTGTAGCCCATTTGTTGAAATGTGTATTTCCTGTGCATACTGCCCAAAACTAGCAAAATAAGAACAATTAAAATTAGACACACAAGATTTTAGAGAAATATCTCGCAATGAAAATTCAATTTATTGTTTACACAATTTCATCCTCATCACATTTTTTCATTGTATAATCATAATTTTGAAGCTGTATTGAATTACTGATAAATTGAATACTTTTTATCAGTGTATGCAGACATGTTTCTCTACAAATCTGTCTTTCTTCATTAGCTAAACAGATGATTCAGGGCCTTCAGTCAGACCCTACATTACTCATTCATTTTCAAGAATGGTCATGGGTAAAATGGTCATGGGTAAAATCTTAACAGGAGAACTCTTCCTGTGACTCCAGAAAAATGGATAGACTTTCTCAGTAAATGTGTGATTGAATATTTTGATATCAGTGTCATTGACAGGGTCAGAGAAGGACACTTGGCCTTTGTCCCAGTCCAGCTGTATTCTGATTCTCTGGAGTCCTCCCTCAGCAGAGAAGGGAGACTTTGGCCGAGCAGGAGAGCGAGTGTAAAATCCGCAATTATTCTCCACACTCCACACACCACTATAAAACACCCCTCCATTTTTCAGATTAGACTCTGGGGTTATTCCCACCTCCCACAAACTCCTATCCCCAACCTCAACGTCCCAGCAGTGGCTCCCTGAGTCAAATCCCTCAGAACCGAGGACACACACGCTTGTTTCGAACCTTTCTGGATTATCGGGAAGGTGCGTCATGTCTTGGGTTTCATCAAATGTCACGCTGGTCAGGTCATCAGACAGTGTAAGGGATGTGTGTGCGGTGTTGGGATCCAGAATGATAGGACCTAATGACACAGTTCATAGACGGAAAAGACAGATGAGATGCAGTGCATATATGATTATAAATGTCCATATATTCTGCATTCAGGATGCTTAATCCATTCAAAAATGGGAGTGCCAATCAGGAATTTAACAAGCCATTTTCCTTACAACAGTGTGTCCAAGATATTGGTTCATGAATATTATTTAGATAATACATTAATTTTGCAGTGTCATTGAAAACATGCCTCCCATCCCTTCCATTTCCTTTTTGGTTTTTAGCTTCCTGATGCCTCTTAAACATAAGTAGACATTAAACTCACTGTACTGCACAATGTCCTTCATTTTCACCCACATTCTGAATGCCAGGTTGCCCAAGTGCTTCGCTTCATCAATCAGTGCTCCTGAAACCATCTGTGGATCCTGCAAGGAGCACTGAGCTCTAGAACAACATCCAGGAGTCAGTGCAGTACGGAGTTTCCAAACTAACCTCATGCAAATTTCAACATATCAAGTAGATTTTATTGGAATTCATAAGAATGAAGAAGAAAAACTACAGCCATTAATCATGAGCCTTAATACAAACTACAAACACTTAATACAAACAACCTATTAGTTTTAGTGTAGTTACTAAATAATTCACATGGGTTTAAATCTGGATGAATTTGGAGAAAATTGACCAGAAAGAGCACCAGAATTTTCCCTATCAAATTCCATACCACAGTACTGTTGAATTCTCAAACTGGATTGGTCAGATGGTGTTGATTAATTTTCGAACACTTGGATGGTAGGCGCTCCACATAAGCAGGTTAAAAAGCTGTTGATTAAAAGAACTGTTAATTTAAAAAAACTGTTGTTATGGTGAAGTTTTCTGTGAGGAGAGGTTTATTTAACATTTATGGAAGGAGTCTCCAGTGTCAGTGCTTTGTAACAGTTGGAGGAAAACTGTAAGTTTAAGTTTTACTACAAGTCTTCAGAACAAAAGATTTTTTTTTTGTCTTATTAACTTCCAGAGAGAGAGAAAAAAAGAGAGGCTGGCGAGGAAACAGAAAATAACTTGTTACGAACATTAAATGCAACTATAAATGGATAAAAACGTAATAATGTGTATTGGCAAATTGCTGTGCTATAAGAGGACTATGTTTATAGCACGTTTCAGGATGTGCTGTTATTGGTAAATAATAAGCTTCAGGGTGATAACTTTTCGTTGGGCCTCATCACACCACCCAGTCACTAATTATTTTCCTATAAGAAGATACCCCTAAAGGTTTCATTCCTTACATAACTAACTGAAACATAAGCTGTGAATTTATCATTTGGTAGCTTTTCATATAAGTTGGCTCACGTCATTTCTAACTCATTTGCTATCTTGAAACCATGAGCCACAGAACCACACAGAAGACAGAAGCAGGAAATGACTCACCTCGTCATTGAGGACTCAAAGTTCTGTGAGAATAAAAAAAAATGAATATGCAGGGTTTCGTTTAATTAGGTCAGCCATTTAATAATAGCCAATTACATTCAATGCCTGAACTCAACACATCTCTTTTCTCATTGTGTTGTTCAACTAATAAGAAAAGCAGTGGAATATACACTGCAGTATCCTACTACACAACAAACAGGAAGGATTCATTTCAGTATTCAGTTCTTATTATTTTACATATCAACCAATGAAAAGTCCAGAGATGTGTGGCAAACCACAATGAGCTTCCTCTTACTGGTGTCTATGGTTGTACACATTATCAAATAATTATAGGCCTTAGTAGCATTGGAAATGGAAAAAAGAATAAATTGCAAGGATCTTGTTTTTTAAAGTGATCTACTTAGATTAGTCAATCACGAAAACTTTGTTACTCTATGTAATAAAACACAATAGTGTGTGTGGGGTTAAAAGAGAAAAAAAAGACTACTGGCTTTGTGTTAGATTTATGTTAGCTTTGTTCATGAACCAATGAACCAAGCTGTTCCAGTACTGACAACTATTTCTGGATTTGCTGTTAGTTTGAAATGTTTCATGGAGTCCTACAACAGACGAGACATTTTTAAACGTGTAGCATTCTGGCTAGAAATGTAGAAACTTGGGAGCACACTAGGGAGAATTTACCTGTATGAATAAGAGATCTTCAGTCCATATATCCTCTTCTATGGCTCTGATCATTTTTGAAAGAGATGATATCTCATTGTTTATCTCTTCAATTTTCTCCTCTACCATCTGAATCTTCTGCTCCTCTTCTTGTCGCAGTGCAAGTAATCTGTCCATCTCTTCAACTCGTAGAAACTGGTACAGCTTCTTAAACTCGTTCCTTATCTGCTGCTCTGTTTTCTGGGCCTGCCTCTGGATGAAGAAGCTAATTGCAGTTGGTGAAAGGAATTTTCTCATGGCTACAACATATTTAGAATATACAGTTATTGCAAAAAAAAAGAAAAGAAAAAAAACATACTGTGTATGGCATTAAAATTTGCAGAACCTGCTACAGGGGACAATACCAAACACATTAAACCAAGAAATACAGGTTAAATAAGTACTGTGTATATAACAGTGTAGTACTGATAATAGTGATGCATAATAGACAACATACTTTAATGCCTTTTTTAATATCAAGGAATGAAGCTTTTTTTTTTCTTTCAGCATTTTAGACAACATTTGAATTTGAGACACTGCAACAGAGACCCTACTACCACGCAATGACATGTGGTCTACATTTTGTCACGGTTTATCTGGCAACACAAAATAGGTCAGTAAACCAATGTCAACCTATTTTAATGGTGGTTTGTTACCAGCTAAATATAGACAGGTCTTTATTTGAGATTTTGCCTATGCGTCTGGTTTCAGAGCATCTGTGAGCAATTTCATTTCATTCTTTTCTGTTGAATGCCTTCATAACACAATTTCCTAAAAGCGGGCTCTTTCAAAATCATGGTTTTTACCAAAACAACTCTCTCACAAATGACTCTTGGTTCAGGAGCATTGCCAGTTTTTTCTTTTTTTTCAAGTTCACCACATTGTTACAATTAATACCAGGACTGTCTATGGTTTTTATTTTATCCACCATCTGACTTATTTATCCACCACTAGCGTCTGCCTTTAATAAAGCATTTAGAGTCTCATTAGGATCTGGGAGCAAAGTTCTTAGTTAACAATAGTGATTGAATTGTAATAAACACAAAACTCTGGATTATGTATATGCATTGTGTATTGATTATGTGCATTGTGTTGGTCATAAATGCTACAAGAATAAATGTAAAAACAGCAAGATGCTACCCAAGTGCATTCAAAAGTACAGTAAAACCCTCCTGTACTTTGTATCTG